TTCTTGGGAATCGAGACATGTCGTTAGAGATCGAGACTCGTTCATGGAAATCGAGACACGTTTTGAAAATCGAGACTCGTTTTGAAAATCGAGACTCGAAGACCAGTATCCTTGAGAGATCCCAAATAATCATTGAATTCTTACCAGACATCGCAAATAACCACCGTGTGGCTCCTTTCCATGACCAGGCACTCTCCCACAGTCCAGTTACTTTCATCGCCTGAATACATTATTATGAATGTAGAATGTAGAATGTAGGAATAAAACAGATAGAATATAATCGAGACCGTAAACCAAGATATAACTGCAATGAGTGTTTGATCAGTTGAGTTGTCACGCATGTGCTGTGGTATGCTGGATACCCGATACCCAGGTTATGTTTGACCTTTGTACTGGGGACTGTCAAATACATCTATTTAACAATTAGTCATCGAGTCCGCATGTTCTACGAGTCTTGTTTCGTACACCATGAGGGCGAGAGGTCTAATTTTTTTCAGTAGTAAAAACCTAGTAATCCGTCCAATAAAAGATGCAAAAAGCGTTGAAATTTTGATCTCAAAATCGACACTTTTCGCTACTATCACTAATATACCACTAGTAGCTCAGCCAATCAGAGGGCTGGATTGGTTATAGTATGTAAATATGTTTTTACTAATAAAATGTGGTTTATGCTCTATAGGACTTTCTTGGAACTTTGAGGCTGAAAAAAAAATTAGAATTTTCACACATTCATCTTTTTCATTGTACTTACCACTAGTATTAGGAAAATGAATATTTATTTCTAGTCGCAAATGACAGTCTATGACAAAGCTATAAGTAGGGGGTGGGAGAATCAAAAAATAAATACTTCCATTCAAATTAGAATTACAGAAAATATTTATTCCATGTAAAATTTATTTATTTCCTGTCAAGGTATGAAAATTCTATGCAAAAGAAAGAGCGCGTAATCCAAACTCGTCACCTGCAACATCGGTTTTCGTATTCTCTCATTTCCGGCCGCACGCATCTTGTCAATGAATGTTCTAAAAGTAAAGTTATTAAGTCTAAAGTCCAACCTAATAAATAAACAGTAACTGGTATATTTCAGATATATATAAAATATCAAAAACTTTTTTTGGCTATCTTCAATTAAATG